GCCGTTCTTTTTTGCTCCCAAACAAGTCTGTCCAATTAATCGACCTCGGAAGTGCGGAAGGCTTAGTTAGTCTGGACGGACACACGATCCAGTAATTCCCGTTTGACCCTCAGATAGAGCGCGCCACTTGCACTGCATCACTTCTCACCTTTTTACGCAGCTTATCTAGACATGAAACCGTTACTAATTTCTGGAAGACGGAGGAAATGGTGCAGTGCCAAAGGTACCAGAATCTGCGAGGATAAAACATGACCTGTACACAAGCTATGTCTCTATGGATTCATTGAACTCCCGTTGGGACTTCGGTTATAGGGGTAATTTGGAGTCCTGATAACGAATATAAAAAATTTTGACACCGTTTCCAACCAACTAACCCAATATGGTGCAACACCTGTTCGTCAATTCGCTGCAAATTTACATATCTCCTCTGCCCTCGATATACAAAGCAGCAGTTTAATTTGTTGTGCATGGTCGAGGTTCAGGGGGGCAATCGCTCTTAGGACACATACGCCAGTAAGTAGGACTTCACCGGAAGTGGGTATGGTAGTGAAGAAGCTCCACCCCACAGGCGGGACTAATGCTAAAATCTCTATTGGGGAGCCAAAAGCTCCACTTTGGATAATAAGGGGCATCTGCGTTTTCAGGGCACGCACAGCTATTAAGAGGATCAGCCCAAATCGGTTACTCTAGTGGGTGGAGCCTAAACCGGATAGGCAGGGCCCATGACAAAATATCTGTTGAAGTGTCAAAACTCCATTTCGAATTAAGAAGTCTCTGTGGTCAAGTCGAGGTTCAGGCGATCAAACAGACAGGGCAACAGGGCAATTTTCTGTCCGTCACGTATTGATCGATATCGATTGAAAAGTATCGGTTTTTGCGCAGAGGGCTCGAATGAGGTGGGAATCACAGTATTGATTGGGTGCCGTGGTAAAAGTCGAAATTCATCGGTCACATGCTATCGATCGATATCGATTGAAATTATTTTTGCTAAAAATTCTCGAACAGGGAAGTCACCGTATGGACTGGATGCTGTATTGAAAGATGACCTATGAGTTGCAGGCTATCGATGGTTATCGAATGGAAATATCGGTTCTCGTGCAGAAAACTCACTCAAATCTGCGTACATGTAGAGCTCCTGTTACCTTTACCCCTCGAGGGTTAAATTCGTTCTCTTTACGGAGCACTCAGCCCTGCATATATTTTACCGTGCCCCCCCCCCCCACTCGTCTTTGAGCGATAGACTCCTCTATGAGCTTGCTGAGTAGGTAGGTCTCCCAAAAGTGGTATATGTATAGTGTTCACTTATTACACTGTTTTCTTGCCAACATTCCACATCTAAAGCGGATATCATTTCTGATACCGCATATTTTCCTCTCTTACTAGCAACGTAGCGCTGAATACGCCTGGGCGGGAGAAGAGCCGAGGTGAGTTAGTCTCTCATCGTGTGGCATAAGCTGTAGTGTCACACATAAGTAGTAAGCTCACTCACCCCGAAAGGCTACGTTTCCTTCCTGCTTCAAGCTTCGCCATTTTATCAATGAGTAGGCGTAAGCAATCACAAAATGGACACTAGATGGTGATAAAGTCTTAATTTCACATACGCTATCGGGACATTAGATAAGTCCTGTATGCAAATCTACCGCGGATTTATTGGGAAATAACTGCAGCTTCAAATTGACTCAAGTGAAGGAATCTGCCAACACCAAAAATGGATGTTATATTCGTTGTCAGGGCATGGAATTACCGCTATACGCGAAGTTTTGGCAAAAATAAAACATTTTGTATTTAGAGCAGTAACAGTCGAATAGAGCCAAAAAATCACGTCTTCTTCCTCAACTTATTTCATATAACGGAACCCTTCAACCTATGATAAAGGGTGCCTTCCAAGTGATCATTGCGCCTAGAAAGTATTCCAACCTTTCAGTTTCCGTTGTGAGACTACGATAATGTGTAACACCAACCACGCCCTATGAGGCAGGGGAACCATGTCTGCCCGCAAGCTTATTGGAAGTAAGAGTGAAAACGCCCGATGTCCCCTTAATGCGCAACCACACTCTTATGAGGCTTATGCAGACTATTAGATTCCAACGATTTTCAATGATGATTTTGGTATTTTCAGCGTCAGCGATTGGATAGCGCGGGAATATGGCGAGAGTCAACATGGCAACGAAGGTATTTCTCCTTTTCGCATGACTCGCCACTTTCCAACGCTCTCAAATCGCCGAAACGTAAAGCCTGACATCTGTCTAGCAAAACACTACAAATCATAGAAAGATCGGTCGGAAAGTTTGTCGCCAGCACTCTTTGATAAAATTATAGGAACGATCAGGCCTGGAGATTAAGATGCGAGGTGCGTGCCGTCCCCGTTTACAGTTCGATGCCAACGCCAGGGCAGCTTGGTCTCCTTCCAAAAAGGGGAGCTGGGACTTGAATAAGTCGTCGAATGTCCTCCTGGTCTCACCGTTCTTCTCGGATTCTCATATGTAGAAGTGCTGGGGGTAACAGAGGTAGTAATTGGAAAGGGTGAGACCAAGGATATAGAGAGCCTGGGGAAACATCGACAGACTCCTGAACGAAAAAAAGTTCAAGGCGTATGACCAGTTCAGGGACGGACTCGTCGACTCTTTCAAGTCCCAGCTACAGCTTCTTTGTGAAGAGATAATCGACAAATTACCCGAGCGTGGACGCTGAATTGTAAACGAGGATGACCTTCGAGCCAGTTCATATGTATAAAAAATATTCACAATAGAGCCGTGGCAGCGAACTATGCAATCAACTAAGTAAAGGGTAAATAAAAATACAAGGCGAAACTATTTATGGTGCCTAGTGCCAACCGGAATTTCTCCTTTACCTCACTCTACCACCTCCCCCCGTTAGCACTCTACTTCCCTTCCCTATTTTCAGTTCATTGAACTAACTTATTTAAACATGACCCATACATTCTACATTGATTCAAATTACCCCTGAAGTTCAATGACAAAACAAAACAACGCTGTGAACAGGCAGTGAGTCGCGTTAAACTGAGGATCGGAAGCAAATTCCTGAGCTTTGTTCTCATGAAAGATACCTATCCCTTACCTTTTTTCCACATTCAATCAAAGTAGGAACACAGGTGAGCTTGAATGCTGGATCTGTTCGGAATGGGCATGTCGGGTTTTTCCAGCTGGAATCAGTAGTAATTTTTAAGTGTCGAACGGAATCATGGTAAACTAAATACTTACTATTCCCTCCCTCCGACGAAACACGTTATAAATGTTGCATCAAGAGATTTGGCATCTTCGCTGTGAAGCACTGACTCTATGGTCGGCTCAGCTGTAAAGGCCATCCTTAGAGCAACAACTGACAACGAAAGAAATGCAACAAAAGTGAACTTCGACACAGAACACCTTCTCCTTCAGCAAAATAACCGTACGACTACAAGTATTTAATAGTATGCAAGCGTCTCGAAGGTTAAAGCCACAAGTCAGGATAAGGTGCTCATAGAAAGCCTTTTCCATCACTAATATGGCCAGGACTGCGCTCAGAAGGGTGACGCCACGCTCCTGACTCGAGATTGCGCGGCGACAAGGCCTCTGGCCTACTACTTACAGCGATGGGTTCGTTGCATCAGCTGGTCCCGCCCACCGCGGGATGTGGTGCGTGGCTGGCATAACGTGTGAAATCAGCTAGGTTGATTGCCGTATCAACCGATGGAACGGCTGGCATATCCGGAAAACTCGTTTGGACGTGCCTCTCCCCAAGCCAGCCTCCTTCACTGCTAGTGGGAAGAGGGTTTCGTTTTCGGCCTTGTCGACGGTTTTTTTCGTTTTTTCTCCACTGTCGTTCCACTTCGCATCTCTATACTCAGTTTCAAGTCGCCATAATACCCATATTGAGCCCGACTTTTGCCTTTACGTTGCAAGACGTTGGATCTTTATGTGGCATCCTCATAATGCCCCAGAATGGCTACTTTGTAAACTATTTATATGTCACAAATCGGCCTTCACTTGGACACTACTCACTACTATAACTAGCACACACTGGAGATTATATGCCGATGGGCGAAGGTGGTGTCGGCATTGAGGCACGACTAGTGCCGCCTGTCCCAATTTTGCCAGGAGTGGGAAGTTTCAGAACGAAGGTGAAAGCGGAAGTGAAATGGCTGACAAACTCCACACGCTCACTGCTTAAAAAAATGGGACTACTATAGGCGGAACGAACTATTGCATCCTTCAAACGTAGACATCTAACTATATCTACACTATATTTACAATTTGAATGATTGGACGTGATTGAATTGAACATTTGAAGTACGTCCACACAATATGGCCTAAGGCCGATGTCAGACTTTGCGAATCGCGCGATTCGCTAGCGTCTGCGGTCGCGTCGCGGCCAGTGAATCACTCAATTGGCTGGTACCGCAACGCGACCGCGGACGCTAGCGAATCGCGCGATTCGCAAAGTCTGACATCGGCTTTAGC